ATAAAATTAAGAGTGCAGTTTTTTTTCCCACAAGACTAAGCAATGTTATTGGCTTTATGATTCATGGAATTTTATCATCATAAAAGTATAATAATGCCTTCGTACCAATTCATGCTTAGTGGACCAAAAGTGTTCAGATTTTTTTTATACTTTTGAATAAAGATGAACAGGACCATTAAATCTGCACCAATCTCTTTTCTTGAATCTCTTCACAAATGATAAGACAGCTGATAAAGTTGTCTTATAATTTTTATAAGTTGTCTTATAGTTTTTATATTTTCTAAAAATTTAAAAACTTCCTGTTTATTTAAAAGCCCTACCTCAACGTTTCTGATCACATTTACCTTAATACACACTGCTGAAATCATATTTACATAAACTGTATAAAAATTAAAAAAAAGACACAACTGCTTTTTTCTACTGTCTGACATTAAGTCAGAATGAACTTTAACCTTTTTAGGTCAGGTAAGCTGGCCTACTTTTTGTTAAATCTTAGAATAATGAGAATCTTTAAGATGCTTTCAAAGTGTATGCTGATTCACAAAATTAAGTTAATTAAAAAATATGTTTTAGTGTTAAATCTGCAAAAAGAAAAAGATGTTTAATAGATGCTGGCTAATTCTGGTAAAATATCATCGCTGATCAGAGTGAAATGGTTCCTGTACCAACATGGGCTGAAAAGCCTTTCAGAGAAGAAGACATCATTACACCACAACATAAAAGGTTACAGTTTGCAAGTACACTAAGAGAAACGACTTAAATTCCTGGAGACAAATCCTGCGTTCTCATGAAAAAATGTGTTTGGCCATAAAGACCATAGTTACATTTGAGTGTTTCCCAAACAAACAGTAAAATGAGGACAGAACACTGCACTGAGAAACAAAAGCAGCATCTCTGAACATCAACAATTAGGTGAAAAGCCTGGGCACAAATGGTTTCCAAATGGACAGTGAGCTACAGATTATTGTCAATGTGGCTTGAGAACAACTAAGTCACTGCTTTGAAGTGGTCACACACCCTCAAATCCTGTAAAAAAAAAAAAGACTGGGCAGAGCTGGAAAGTGTGAGAGAGATAGGTAGCCTGCAAATCTGACTCACATCTATTAGGAGGGATTGGCCACAATTCCAGGAAATTATCGTAAGAAGCTTGTGGAGAGAAAACCCAGGTTGCAAATCATGAACTTTCAAAGGTAGTTCTAGCAAATACTAAAGGAATCTCTTTTTTTTTGATCTAGCGAATGGAGATCCTAATCCAGACCTAAAACAGAAAGTTTCATCTGTTTAGATGTCAGAAAATGAGAAAAATAAGGTTATACGTTTATTTTAATCCAATGTAAACAAACTTCTAGTTTGACCAGTTTGCACTTTATGTCAATGTTATCAATTGTTTTGCTATTTTGTTGCAAATTAGAGCCATATTTTCGACCCTTCAGATCTCCACTCTTTCAAACATGAAAGTCTATGTTGACAACACGTAAGGCACAGATCACATGATCAAAGTCCTTCTGAATACATACTTTTCTATATTCCTTTTAATTCAGCTCCTCCCACAACGATTCTTACTTGTAATCTGAACGGTTGAAGCAAAAACATCTGGGCCGTATGTAAAAACCCTGTATATACAGACAATCTGGAATAAAATACTTTAAATCAGTGTGGTCTTAAATCAGCAGACCAAGTCAGACCGATTTCCTCATCAACAAACTTCAGCAAGCATTTCAAGACAAGACAGTATAAAAACATAATTGCTGTAGATTTGCTTATGGGAAATACATATAAAGCACTCCGAAAGCACCATTTATTGGAAAAGGATGCATTCACGTTAATATATTGAGCATCTTGGTCATCACTAACAGGTCAGACCTCAGTGAGTGGGTAAGTATGACGATCAATTTTTAATGACTTCATGATGATTCATTCTGTCTGCTGAGCTTCATTACATGAAGCTGTCTTACCTCATTTGTTCTTCGTGCAGCTCGAGATCACAGAGGGGACGCCTGACTTGGGCGTGACCTCTTACTGGACAGATGCTGAAGGGAATGTGGTTTTCAACCCAAATACTCCAGAAGACAAAATGAAAACCTCAGTGACAGGAATGAAAACCCCAAAACGAAAAGGTGAGCAGACTTGTACAAGCAAGAGTCAGCTATACATTATGGTTTGGTTTGGATGGTTTGTTTCACTAAGAAATATCCTCTTGCAGAGTCAGTAGCTAGAGATCCTGCTAAAAAGATGGAAGACAAGAAGGAGGGCAGCAGTAGCAGGAGGTTGGAAACAGGAAAGATGTCAGATGATGCCCCAGCGGAGACTAAATCTTCAAAGTCAGACCGACCAATGGATGCTAAAGAAATTCTGTTGGAGAAGTCATCCTCTGCCGAGACAGAAGCCAAAACAGCCTGAAACACCACAGAAAAACTTTGTGACACAGAAATTGATTGTTAAATGTTACTGATAATCTCCTTTTTAAGGTAAAAATTGTAACCAATTTTTGGAATTCACACATCTTTATGTTGAGTTTTTTTCTTTTCTTTTGCAATGGGGAAGATCTTATCTGTCAGAAAACATAGGAAAGAGGCCTAAAGCAGATGAACAGAGAAAACACATATGGCATATTCTTATTGTGAAACACAGCACAATTAGGCTAACTTAGTGAGGAAACAAGTTAGTTTCACAGTGTTTGTATTTCATTTTTGTTAACTTACTGCAAAACTGTGACAATTGTAATGATTAAATGGAAAAAATATTGTTACCACACATCTGGAGTTGATAAACTTTGGAATTTTATCAACCACAACAACACAGACAAACCTGGATGGTTCACAAGGTTTACTTTGACTCTTTTGGGGAAATGAAAGCAGCTACTTCCCTTCCCTCTGTAGAACGTGTGAATAGGACATTATGTTTCCGTCTTTCTACAAAAGCCCAACACCAAGCTTCTTTTTCATCCACATCAACCTTTTTTTGTTTAGCAACATGTCTGTGCAGTTGATCTAAGCCTTGAAAAGCCGCCACCTGCAGGTCTCCTGTTCTGCAGCTGAGTATGACTTCTGTTCTCGGGTCTGAAAGCATAAATGAATTAACTCACTGAAATGAATTAACTCTTTACATTTTGTTTCATTGCACAAATAAATATAAGTTTTGGGATTCAGCACGTTTTTGTTAATTAATTATGACAATTATCATGTAAAAGTTTAACAGAGTGCTGTTTGGAAATGCACCATGCCCTAATTGTCCCTGTTTGTAATCCTGTTTTTTATCACAGTATGTAAATAAATTTTAATATAGCAACAGAAAATTTCTGTTGATAACATTTATATTTGTAAATGTAATCAATCCAAAAACTCTAAAGTGTGATTAGTGTGATTAAAAGCCAAGCTTCGTGAAAGAAATATATATATATATATGAAGCTTTTTTTTCTTACGATTGAAACTGTTAAGTACAACATGAGGTACTTGTCTTTTTAAAAAGACTGTTTAAAATCTCTTTAATTCTAAGCATGACTATTCCATCCGATGACTTTTATTCAAAAGCTGAATTTGGTGCCCCAAAATCTCATTTTAATTAATTCAAGAAAGACTGACCCAAATCCTGCTCTTACATTTTTTTTGGTCGAGCCCTAAAGAATTAGCAAACTACTATCTTTTAATAAGCCAAATGTGCAAAAGCCCTTGTTAAGTTTAACCCTTGTCAATAATTTACACACCCGTTGCCCCACAGAAAATCTCACAACTTATTTGAATAAAATATTTTTATTCAAATAAGTTGTTCGATATTTTGTTCATCCATCCCTATTGCTTAT